AGCTGTATGGACACAGCTGGGTACTACTTTATAGTATGTTCATTCTACTCACTGGGGTTTATGCCTAGGGTCAGATTTGGGTACATGTATAGGTATATGTGTATATGTGTCAGCTGTGCTAGCTATTGGATATATTTAGACCAATTGAGTTCATTGGCAGAACAATTGAATGGGGGGGAGGGCGGAAGACATGGAGGGCAACCATGGATACCAGGGACAATGGAGGAGGAAGATGGGACATGGCAAAGGATAGGGGATGGGGAATCAGGGATGGCAAGACAAAGGGCAAGGTATACAGGTTGTAAGAATTGGAAAATTACTTGCTGAGAACATGTATGCTGATGTGCTTGATTGAACCAATGCACAGTGTATTTTGGATGGAAAATTCATTGGTGTGTTGTGATGGTGTATAGTGAATTAAGGTAGAAAATAAAAATTAAAAAAAAAAAGATCATTTCGAGATTCACCTTGAACCTGGTCTTAGCCCCTAACCATCTCTACTACTGCCTGTTGTCTATTTATTGCATTCTCCAGTTTTCTCTTGAGTCTAGTCTTTTCTGAGTTTTTTTTTTTTTTGTATTTTTTTAAAAGATTTTTGTCATAGGGCCTGTGCACTTGCCAGAGAAAAGCAGAGAGAGTGAAAAATTGAGAAATCACCGCCCCCCGGGGGAAATGGCCACACTGCAATCCCTTCTCTTTCATTCTTCTCTCAGGATTTTGTGCACACACGCACATGTGCCTGGAGTGAGTTTCAAGTCACTGTATTTAGTACTTAAACTGAGATCAGCAATGTGAAAGTTCAGGGCCTTTAACCACTATACCACCTGCTGGCTCCCTTTTCTAGTGCTTCAGTCTTAGAAAACCATCTACCCCAACTCCTGCTCCTCTGCCTCTCTCTGTCCCACTTTATTTCTGGTTGTTATGGCTCATTTGCTACACTTTGGCAGAGGTTGTTCTAGCTACACACTTAGCAGTTGCCAGAGGGAGTCTCTCTCAGTCTCTGTCTCTCTTAGAAGACAGAGAGCTTGTTAAGGACCTGGGATTATATAGTCGCTGGAACACACAGGCAGCATGCACATCGTTCAGTTTAAACCTCATTCTTCACCAGGGACTAATGCTGCGTGAATTAATATTTCTGTGAACTATTATAATTACGAAGTGAGCAGCACAGTCACACTGCAGGACTTTTTCTCGGTGGTGGTTCATGTAAATTGAACTCAAGTCTATTATATAAACAACGAACACATGGATGTCTCTCAAACTTCCAAACTGGAGGGGCCACAAATACCTGGACTTTGTCTGTTCCATTCATCTGTCTCCTGTTGCCCAGAACAGGTATAGAGTATGCCCTCATGTATTTGTGAATCAATACATTTAATGCACAGTGGATATATATTCTACATTTTTGTGAGAGATTTTTGCTGTAGAGCACACGTGCTTGCCAAAGAGAGAGAAACAGAGAAACAGAAAGTGAGAAATCACCCCCTGGGGGTTGGCCAAGCCACAATCCTTTCTCTACTCACCTCCTGAGATTCTGGGCACACAAGCATACATGCCTGTATGAGTTTCAATCTGCCAGGTTCAGAACTCGAACTGTGGTTAGCCACATGGGAGTCCAGCACTTTAACTACTATGAAATTCTACATTTTTTTTTCATGCCAGATGGCAATGTGAACAGGAGAGAGAGGCAGTATCCCCAAAGCAATCTGGTCATATTCTAATAGTTTGCCCCCAATTCTCTATCTCATCACATCTAATATGTTTTTCAAGCTGCCAGGGCCAGGACTTGAACTCTGGTTGGCCATTTAAGATCTGGCTTCCTCTCTGTGGTGGTTAACCATTAAGCCATAGGGCTAGCCCTTATGTTCTATATTTTATTTAAAAATCTAAGGTAACTTAGTTTGTATTAAATAGTGACACCAATTAAAATAGTTTCACTTATTACATGTATTACGTAAAGAGAGATTCTATGTTATATATGCTTAATAGCTAATTTGTTAAAGTGATATTTTCTGTATAGCCCTGTTTTAACACTTTTTATGTCTTTTTTTTTTTTTTTTGCCAAAGAGCACTTGTACTTGCCAGAGAGAGACAGAGCGAGAGAAAGAGGAAGAAAGTACTCTGCAGTACGGCATAGTCATGCCGCAACCCCTTCTCTTCTATTTCTCCATCCTGCGGGATTTGGGGCACACTTGCCCATGTGTCCTGTGTGGTCTTCAAGTTGTTGGGGCTGGAATTCGAGCCACAGTTGGCTATGAGGGATGCAACTCTCTTAACCACTAGGCTACACAGGTTCCTTTTTTAATATACCGAGAGTCTTGAAATAGAAATAGCCCAGGTGTTTCTGAGCTTCTAAAAGCCTTAACCTGGCTGACCACCAAGAAAAATTCTTGTGACTGGATCTTGCATGAAGCCTGATCTCTAGAGCCCTTGCATCTTCCTCCAGCTTCAGAGAACCAAGGTACAGCTGAGGAGGCCCAGACTGGGTGTGAGTATTATCTGTGCAGATGGAGCAGAACCCAGTGTCGTGCTCTCATCGGAGAAGTCAGATATGTGTGTGTTGGTGGAAGTGTGGAGGGGAGAAGCTAAGTGATAATGAGCCTCTAAGTGTCTGAAGACAAGTAGTGTAACCAGGGAAGGGCCAAGAGTAAGTGGGGGCGGGACTCCGAGCTATTATCTACCACAGAAAAATGCTGCAATGTCAATTTTGTTTGATGAGTTGGTCTAAGAGTGAGTCAGTTGAGCTGAAAGAGCCAAGATATGAGGTCCCAGAGAGGCATGAAACAAAACCTGTCATGATTTGTTTTATGATGTAGTCTACAATATGTCATAGTCCAGTTCCTTGAACAACTTTAAAAATACATCAATAATTTGGTCAATATAGATTAGCTATAAATTGTCCTTATGCATCAGGAAGAGAAACCTCTGTTTACTGGTTTTCCACATACACAGTAAACCCCACTGTCACACAGACAATGGGGTACACAAATTCAACTGCATGAATTTCAAGTTTGTGTTAATGGGATGCTAATGAAAAACAGTATTTTTCATTAGGCTTGTGTTATTACAGAATACAAAGAGGAAGTATACTGAAACCTATGCACAACTGACCATATGGTAAGCTTAAAACGTCCCCAATGACGAAGAGGCCAACAAAGCCTGACCCACCACTTGTTAAGGGTGGTGGTCCTCTACTCACAGCCCACTGCCCCAGGACATAAGAAAGCCTGTCTGCCATCCTTTTATGATGGAAGTAGCCCTGTGGTCTGATGGTTAAGGGAGCTGTATCTGAAATGGCCAACAATATGATTCAAATACCAGACTTGGTGGTTGGAAAATGCACCATACACATGTGTGTCCTCACCCCAAATCCTGACAGAATGGAGAAGTGGAGGAGAAGGGATCAAAGAGAGACTATGCACCATCGCAGGGAATATATCCTCTCTGACAAGTACAAGTGTTCTCTGGCAATTTTTTTTTTTAAGAGAGAGACTTTTTGCTATAGGGCACAAGCACTCATGAGAGAGACAGAGAGAAACAGAGAGATGGAAAGCAAGAAATCAACCCCTATGGGCATGGCCACACTGCAATCCCTTCTCCACTCTTTTATTGGGATTTTGGGCACACATGTACAAGGGCGGAGCGTGAATTTTAAGCCACTGGGCCCAGGATTCAAACCGTGGTTGACTACATGGGAGTCCAGCAACATAACCATTATGCTATCTGCTGGTCCCACCCTTACCTTTTACTTTTTTTAAAAGAGCTTCTGGTAAAACTTAAAAAAAAAAAAAAAAAGAATGGAGGCAGTGGTGAGGTCTGGAGTCAATGGCCAGTCCCACTTTTATGTAAATGCATTATATCTACAGCTTTATCTCTTGAAAAATAACATGCAATACAAAAATAACAAAGATAGTTGTGGGCTAAAGTAAACTAAGAAATATTGGGACAATCTCAGGAAATCGAACTACTAGACTGTCATTAATGAATATAGGAAAGGAAAATGCAGATGAGAGGAAAATGCTGCTCAGGAGGTCTCCACCCATGCAGGTTCTAACTGGGTCATTTTGCCTGTTTGGGAGGTCCCCACCAGTGCAGGTTCTAACTGGATCTTGTTTGCGTGTTGTTTCGGAGGTCCCCACCAGTGCAGGTTCTAACTGGGACTTCTCTGCAGACCACACAGGACTGTTACACTGGAGTTCTCCAGCCAGAGTCGGTACCTTATGCTGCTCAAGTTTCCGTTGTATTGTGTTTGCCGTTTCCTCGTGGACCTGCTGGACGGTTATCTCCTCCCTCAGGGCCACCTCTGCTCGGTACAGCCAGGCACCTATGGTGCCCAGAGGGGCAGGAAGAGATTTGTCAAGCTGTATGTGCCAATCAAAGAGCTGAAATGAAAGAAAGCAGAAAAATAAAACATTTCTCATCTTTTACAGGAGATGATTCCTAAAGTTCTTCCAAACAGATTTAAAGCATACATAAAACACCTTAAGTCAAGGATTTCAGGCTAATTTAATAAATATCAAATAAATATCTACATTCTGAGGTTGATGTTTTGGCTATGGGAAGGGAATTATAGTTAAAGAACATTTCGAGGAAACCCAAAATACACCTTAGACATGGGAAGGTATTTTTAGAAGCTTAAGCAATTTTCTTCTTGTGAGAATAGCAGTAAGTGCTGCTGATTGGCAGTGTGGCGTTTGCTGAGGGAAGGGACCAGGTTACTGACATGCTCAGAGAATACAGTAGTTGTATACGGGCAGTCATCAGAAGGAGAATCCCATTGAAACCTCATACATGCTTCACAACTGGACCAGAAGAATCAGGGTTTTCTAGATGATGCAAGTTTAGTTTTTAAGATTCTTTCTATAATCCTATGATTTGTTAACCTTCTCACCACATCTTCTTTTTTACCCAATTCTCAAGCACCATTTCCTAGTTTATTGGAATGCCAAGTGGGACAGGCTGAGGTGTTTAGGAACTAGCCTATCGTATGATCGAGCCGATGGAAAGAATCAGATTATCAAAATTAAAAACAAAGAATGAGTTCAAGAAAAATACTTCCAAAATGGTAATAGGCTTCCAGAGGGTTTGAAATCTTGGGCTTTAAACATGAAGATGGAAACTGAGCAGTTTTAGTTCAAATTCATGAGGAACCAGATAAGAAGAGGTTCTTAAATTAAAGAATGTAAAATTGAATGACAACTCAGGAACATGTTAAACTGTTGCTGAGATGCAGTTACAGCATATGAAGGGTTGTTGAGTTTCTAGTCTTGAGGATCTTCTACAAGAGAGTCACCTCTCTGAACAATCCAGAATTAAGCTGGATAATGTGAAAAGCCATCCAGATGGTCTTTCTGGATTCCAATTGGTCATCTAATCAATGACTACCAGCATGTGTACTGTAGGCAAAGCAGGGAAGCAGTTTTTATCCAAACACTTCCACTAACTTATGGAAAAACTTGATAAAAGGACAAGATTTTCCTGTAGTTAGGCCTTTCCAACCTCAGACAGAGCAACAGGAACTAATACAATATCAGTGTGTAGAAAAAGTTGATGAAAAATATTCTTGACTCAATTACGTAAGTTCTAATGAAATTAATGATGGGAAGACTTACCCTGGAGGACACTCTATCCCAGGACTGTTTTACCAATGCTTGGTCAAGTGACAATTTACCGTCTCTATGCAATGGTTGTATTAAATGTTCAATCTGTTTTCTTTTCATTTCATATTGAACTCTGAAGTGCTTAAATGACTAAAAGAGGAAAAACAGCAAAGATATGGCAATGAGTCAAAGAAAGCAAAAGCAGAGGAAACCACATTTCCTCAATAATAATCCTTTATTTTGGATAGCACTCAATAGATGTTGTTAATAATAATAATATTGACAAACATGATACTAATAGCCACCATGATTCATCAAGCCCTGACTGTGAGCTTGACCCTGTGCTACGTGCTTCTGTTTATTAGTCTCTCTGGCTCCCTCCATAGCCCTACAATATAGACAGATGTTATTATTATTCCAAAGCCCAGGAAGGACTTGGCAAGAACCAGCAATTGAGGCAAGACTAAAACCTAGGAATTCTTATTTTTAGTTGAGCAATCTATGTGTCAGTCCATGTTTATCAGAGGATAATAGTAAACAGGTGTACAAATCTGTGTTCAAGATAATTGCTTTATTTCAAAAATTCCAACATACAAATAAAAATTGCACATGTTAAAATGATGCTGAATTAAAGACATCTAAATATGTGTTTATGCAATCTCCTACAACGAAGTTTACATTAGAGACAGTATTTGCATAATAGCCCTTTGCTTTCATTTTTAGAAGTTTTCCAGAGGGTGGATGCACTTGCTGGAGAGAGACAGAGAGAGAAAGAGGGAGAGGAAGGATGTGAGAAAGTATCCTCCATGGAGAATGGTCACACTGCAATCCCTTTTCTTCCATTTCTGCCTCCTTTCAGGATTTTGGACTCACATGCACGTACACTCAGCATGTTTCTCAAGCCACCTGGTCTGGAACTTTAACTGCACAGTTGGCCATGTGGGTTAAGCTGCCTTAACCATGTAATACTGGATGGTCCCTTTGCTTTCATTTTATGGCATGAAAATATTAAGAATTTCACAGTTAAAATAAATATATAATATGTAGACTTATCTATAAGCTTATTATTACATAAAAAGTGATTTTAAAGTTTTCCATTTTATGCTAACTTAACACATGCTAAAATGTGACCCCCAAGCCCAAATATGAAGTTATAATACCATTTAATTGTGCAATTATGTTACAGAAGAAGAGAAGGGCCCTATGGAGTCTAGCAGATAATACATCTAAAAGAATTTCAAAGTTATAAATGGACATGTAAATTCACATGAAGAACACTGGGGGGAGATGGTGAATACAAATTTTATAAATTTTATCTTCTATTCCTTTTGACTTACTGGAATGTTTAAAAATGCTGAAACATAAAAATAAACCTTTAATTTATTTCTACAGAATTCTGTGCATAGAAATTTTGGAATATGTTGTATTTATTGGTAAGTTGAAATCATTTAAAAGTGCTGATTACATACTGTATTCAGATTTTAGACAATCTTTACATCTATTGTTTTAAGGTTTTTACCATAAGATGCATGTGTTTGCCAGAGAGAGAGAGAAAGTGAACGGGAAAAGTGAAAAATCACCTCCTAGGGAGATGGCCACACCACAGTCCCTTCTCCTTCATTCTCCTCCTGAGATTTTGGGCACAAACACACACTCACACCCCACATGATTTTCAAGTCACCAAGTCCAGCACTTGAAGTGCAGTTGACTATGTGAGAGTTCAACACCTTAACCCTGATGCACCTGTTGACCCCACGCCCTGAAAGTACTCTTAAGCAACTAGTGATCATCTTTGACCTGAAAGGAGTGTTTCTGTTACATACCTTCTAATATTTTGTTTTTCCCTTTTAAAATGACATCTATAGTAATTTTATAGCTTGAAATTTAATTTTTGATAATTTATGCTAAAATTAAAACTCAATGCACTCAATAAACATATTCCCTCTGTTCTTATGTTTCTGTTCTTAATTTTCTGGCTAAATAATTTTCTAATGGAACTCATCCCAGAAAATTTTATTTTGGGGAAGAAAGATTAGATAGAGTTCCAAAGAAAAAGAGCACATGCACAATAGGCATATAATTATTGCTTTGCCCAGTTGAAGAAATATAATATTGATGGCATCATCTATCCAAAATTAGGCAAATTTTATAAGTACTTATATAAAAATCACAAACAAATGACGCAGATAAATCTTCTATTATCTGTCATGTTAAATCTCTCACATCACTGTATCTTTCCTTTGGTAGCAAAAAAGATTGAAATATAATACAGAGTAGAATATATACAGACTTTATTTGGTCATTGGGGAAGTCATGATGTATTTTTCTATGCAAAAATGCATCATGACTTTCCCAACAAGCAAATAATATTAATATGCTATATGTTGTTAATTAAGTGATATTTTAAATAGAAGGAAAATGACAAAACTTCATAAAATAAATCACAACTTTTTAATGAAAAAATATATATATATTTTTTTTTGGAGAGGTTTTTTGCTATAGGGCGCATGCGCTTGCCAGACAGACGGAGAGAGACAGAGAGAGAGAAAGCGAGAAATCACCCCCCGGGCGGATGGTCATGCCACAATCCCTTCTCCTCCATTCTCCTCTCGGGATCTTGGGCATGCACACACACGCGCCCGGCGTGAGTTTTAAACCACCAGATCCGGGATGCAAACCACGGTCGACTACGTGGGAGTCCAGCGACATAGCCATTATGCTAACTGCTGGTTTCCTAATGAAAAAATATTGATATATGTTGTATGACATAGCGTTTTGGCAGCAGAAATTATTGGGTTGCTGGAAAAGTCATAACTCATTTTTGCATAGAAAATATATCATAATTTTTCTCATGACTTAATATTAATAGAAACAGTGCAATGAGACTGGGAGGGAACAACAGCAATCGCTCTAACCTCAAAATACACACAATAGTGTAGAAATCTGTAGAAACTGATCACTTAATAGAGCCACAGCAAATATTTCTGCTGCAATCATTTATTAAATGCACTTTATTTTAAAGTAATTTTCTGGTTAACTTGTCTTTGTTGTTCTTTATTTGTGGATTTTTGTTAGATGACATCTTTAAGATCCTGAGTTCTACAAAGATTATAACCCCATGTTTGTGTTCTGGGTCATCTTCAAGACTCTCAATTTTGGAAAACTGATGAAGCCTCAGAGCTCTGCATAGTGTGTAGAAACAATGCAATTTAAAGCTACCTATTTAGGGGCTGGCACTGTGGCCTTGTAGCTATAGCAATCGGATCCCACATGGTGGACTATGTGGTTTGAGCCCTGGACCTGGCAGCTTGAAAAACATGCTAGGTGTGTGTGTGTGTGCATATCCAAAATCCTGAATGGGGGGAGAGATAAAGGGATTGTGGTGTGACCATTCCCCAGAGGAAGAAGGTGCTTTCTCTTCTCTCTCTCTCCATCTCTCTGTCTCTCTCTGATGAGTGCATGTGCCATTTAGCAATACAGAGGAAACCAAAACATTTATATAGAAATACAATGATTAAACTATATGCAAATTTAAGATAATGGATATTATTTCATTAGAGGCTTTAGTCCTTAATTCAATTTGAAAGATTAAACATAAGGTAGATGACATATATGAATCTTGCTTATGACAAGCTTTTGAAAACCTCAAGTCTTTTTTCCATACTTTACCTGATATTTGTCCTGCAGATTTAATTCTGCCATCTGTGCCCTTGTCAAATCTCTTTCAAATTGGTCTATCCAAATTTTCATTTCCTTCAATATGAGTCTGTCTTCTCTCTGGAAACCATGAGGTGTTATAATTTGATTAGTAGCTGTGCATTTATTCGTTGCTGATTAATACCTGACTGATCCTAGAATAGACCTAACAAACCTCAATTGTCTGAAAAAAGATTGTCTTCCCCCACCTCCATAATTTTTGAGAGGTCAGAAGTACGAGTTAATGCTAGAAAAATGTCTTACTTAACCTTGTTTAACACTAAACTTATCTATATCATTTTGTTTCCAAGTAACATTATTTTAATAAAGAAAATGATCTCAGGATGGAATGTCCTAATTACCAATGTATTGAGAGCAGTAGCTAGAGTGGGAGCATAGGCCTGTGGATTGCTTCCTAACCTGAGGTCATTGGTAGCCCAGACTATTATGGGTGAGATTAATTTTTAAACTAAATTAAAAAACATAGAGTTATAATAAGGTAAGACTGATTGCCTGTGTTATTTAAAAATATTTAGTATTGTAATATAAGCCCCATTTGGACAGAAAGCACATTCAACATGTTCAACAGGTATCCAGCGTTGTGCCTACAAGAAATCTGTCAAGCTATCAGCTGGATGAATGCATGCCACAACTCACAACACCAAAATGAACAATAAAACTGGGATTTACATACTTGTTTCCACAACTACTAACAGGAGCCATTCCAGTGTTGATTTAGTGCGAATAGCTTGTTTTTGCATTGATTGTGTATCTTGTAAAAATGCCAGAGTAACCCTAAATGATTTTTCTTGGCAGGAAGGAAACTTCCAATGACAGCATCTCACTTACTGCTCACAGTCCTGAGACTGTGAGTGGCTATCCTCGTCGACAGATGAAGTGTCAGAGTGGAAAAAGCGCCGTGGATGGAGGCAGGCAACTGGTTTTAAACTCTGCTGCTGTGGTGCTAGTTCTGTGACCTTTGCACACCTTTTTGTTTGTCTTTTCAACCTCCCTACTGTTGAGTCATCACCTGAGGAATCACCATGAATGTTCTCTGGTTTTAGTAAGAATTAGAGGCGACTCGTGTAAACTGTCTAGTACACACACACCGGCACACGATGTTCTCATGACCCAGACTTGTCTCCCTTTCGGGTCTTACACAGTCAGCCATCTTACGCCTGCAAATTTAACGTTCTCATTTTCCCCTGAATAGTGCCACCTTCTGAGTTCAACTTGGTCATGACGTCCTCTAGGAGGCTTTTACTGACTCAGAAGTCTGAGTTAGGAACCTCTCTTTTATGCTAGTAGTTCCCAAACTTTAGCGTGCACTAGAATCACCTGGGGGGTTTGTGAAAACACAGATTGCTGGACAACACCCCAGGGTTTCTGGCTCGGTAGATCTGGGCAAAGCTTAAAATTTTTCTCTCTCACAAGTTTGTATGCGTATCTGATACTGAAGGTTTAGGAACTATGTACTGAAAGCATTTTTTCTATTAATATGATCCTGTCTCTAGACCTGAGCTCTAATATTCACCCAAATATATTATATCATATTAGTGCCCTTATTTGTCTCTTAACCACCACCCTAGTATAAAATATATCATTTTATCCCTATTGCCTAATGAACTATCTGGCCCTCAGTAACACTCAATATATGATCATGCAATAAATTATTGACTGGTAAGACTGCAAAGCTTCAGTGATACCAGGATGGCTCATCTGAATAAACAGGTGACTATAATCAAGGCATCTCCTTGATTATATTTTTAAAGAATTATTTTATTTTATTTTGTATTTATTCATCCATTTATGTTTTAATTTTACCAGAGTTAAGGAGACAGACAGAGAGAGAGAAAGTGAGACAGGCAAGTGACCAGGTCCAGGATATGAACCATGGTCAGCCATGTGGGAGTGTCCAGCACCCTAACCACCACCACTCCACCTGCTGGTCCCCATGGCATATCCTTTATTATTGGTTGACTTCATGCCAAAAAAAAAAAAAAAAAAAAAAAAAAAAAACACCACTCAATGGGTACACTAAACTTATCTATATCATTTTGTTTCCAAGTAACATTATTTTAATAAAGAAAATGATCTCAGGATGGAATGTCCTAATTACCAATGTATTGAGAGCAGTAGCTAGAGTGGGAGCATAGGCCTGTGGATTGCTTCCTAACCTGAGGTCATTGGTAGCCCAGACTATTATGGGTGAGATTAATTTTTAAACTAAATTAAAAAACATAGAGTTATAATAAGGTAAGACTGATTGCCTGTGTTATTTAAAAATATTTAGTATTGTAATATAAGCCCCATTTGGACAGAAAGCACATTCAACATGTTCAACAGGTATCCAGCGTTGTGCCTACAAGAAATCTGTCAAGCTATCAGCTGGATGAATGCATGCCACAACTCACAACACCAAAATGAACAATAAAACTGGGATTTACATACTTGTTTCCACAACTACTAACAGGAGCCATTCCAGTGTTGATTTAGTGCGAATAGCTTGTTTTTGCATTGATTGTGTATCTTGTAAAAATGCCAGAGTAACCCTAAATGATTTTTCTTGGCAGGAAGGAAACTTCCAATGACAGCATCTCACTTACTGCTCACAGTCCTGAGACTGTGAGTGGCTATCCTCGTCGACAGATGAAGTGTCAGAGTGGAAAAAGCGCCGTGGATGGAGGCAGGCAACTGGTTTTAAACTCTGCTGCTGTGGTGCTAGTTCTGTGACCTTTGCACACCTTTTTGTTTGTCTTTTCAACCTCCCTACTGTTGAGTCATCACCTGAGGAATCACCATGAATGTTCTCTGGTTTTAGTAAGAATTAGAGGCGACTCGTGTAAACTGTCTAGTACACACACACCGGCACACGATGTTCTCATGACCCAGACTTGTCTCCCTTTCGGGTCTTACACAGTCAGCCATCTTACGCCTGCAAATTTAACGTTCTCATTTTCCCCTGAATAGTGCCACCTTCTGAGTTCAACTTGGTCATGACGTCCTCTAGGAGGCTTTTACTGACTCAGAAGTCTGAGTTAGGAACCTCTCTTTTATGCTAGTAGTTCCCAAACTTTAGCGTGCACTAGAATCACCTGGGGGGTTTGTGAAAACACAGATTGCTGGACAACACCCCAGGGTTTCTGGCTCGGTAGATCTGGGCAAAGCTTAAAATTTTTCTCTCTCACAAGTTTGTATGCGTATCTGATACTGAAGGTTTAGGAACTATGTACTGAAAGCATTTTTTCTATTAATATGATCCTGTCTCTAGACCTGAGCTCTAATATTCACCCAAATATATTATATCATATTAGTGCCCTTATTTGTCTCTTAACCACCACCCTAGTATAAAATATATCATTTTATCCCTATTGCCTAATGAACTATCTGGCCCTCAGTAACACTCAATATATGATCATGCAATAAATTATTGACTGGTAAGACTGCAAAGCTTCAGTGATACCAGGATGGCTCATCTGAATAAACAGGTGACTATAATCAAGGCATCTCCTTGATTATATTTTTAAAGAATTATTTTATTTTATTTTGTATTTATTCATCCATTTATGTTTTAATTTTACCAGAGTTAAGGAGACAGACAGAGAGAGAGAAAGTGAGACAGGCAAGTGACCAGGTCCAGGATATGAACCATGGTCAGCCATGTGGGAGTGTCCAGCACCCTAACCACCACCACTCCACCTGCTGGTCCCCATGGCATATCCTTTATTATTGGTTGACTTCATGCCAAAAAAAAAAAAAAAAAAAAAAAAAAAAACCACCCCGCATGGGTTTGGGGGGAATTTGCGAATAGCTTGTTTTTGCATTGATTGTGTATCTTGTAAAAATGCCAGAGTAACCCTAAATGATTTTTCTTGGCAGGAAGGAAACTTCCAATGACAGCATCTCACTTACTGCTCACAGTCCTGAGACTGTGAGTGGCTATCCTCGTCGACAGATGAAGTGTCAGAGTGGAAAAAGCGCCGTGGATGGAGGCAGGCAACTGGTTTTAAACTCTGCTGCTGTGGTGCTAGTTCTGTGACCTTTGCACACCTTTTTGTTTGTCTTTTCAACCTCCCTACTGTTGAGTCATCACCTGAGGAATCACCATGAATGTTCTCTGGTTTTAGTAAGAATTAGAGGCGACTCGTGTAAACTGTCTAGTACACACACACCGGCACACGATGTTCTCATGACCCAGACTTGTCTCCCTTTCGGGTCTTACACAGTCAGCCATCTTACGCCTGCAAATTTAACGTTCTCATTTTCCCCTGAATAGTGCCACCTTCTGAGTTCAACTTGGTCATGACGTCCTCTAGGAGGCTTTTACTGACTCAGAAGTCTGAGTTAGGAACCTCTCTTTTATGCTAGTAGTTCCCAAACTTTAGCGTGCACTAGAATCACCTGGGGGGTTTGTGAAAACACAGATTGCTGGACAACACCCCAGGGTTTCTGGCTCGGTAGATCTGGGCAAAGCTTAAAATTTTTCTCTCTCACAAGTTTGTATGCGTATCTGATACTGAAGGTTTAGGAACTATGTACTGAAAGCATTTTTTCTATTAATATGATCCTGTCTCTAGACCTGAGCTCTAATATTCACCCAAATATATTATATCATATTAGTGCCCTTATTTGTCTCTTAACCACCACCCTAGTATAAAATATATCATTTTATCCCTATTGCCTAATGAACTATCTGGCCCTCAGTAACACTCAATATATGATCATGCAATAAATTATTGACTGGTAAGACTGCAAAGCTTCAGTGATACCAGGATGGCTCATCTGAATAAACAGGTGACTATAATCAAGGCATCTCCTTGATTATATTTTTAAAGAATTATTTTATTTTATTTTGTATTTATTCATCCATTTATGTTTTAATTTTACCAGAGTTAAGGAGACAGACAGAGAGAGAGAAAGTGAGACAGGCAAGTGACCAGGTCCAGGATATGAACCATGGTCAGCCATGTGGGAGTGTCCAGCACCCTAACCACCACCACTCCACCTGCTGGTCCCCATGGCATATCCTTTATTATTGGTTGACTTCATGCCAAAAAAAAAAAAAAAACAAAAAAAAAAAA